AGAAAACCGGGCTAATGGGAGCTGCTAAGTCAAAGAACCGAATAAAACCAAACGACAGCTTGCTGAGTTATGAAAGCTAGTTCAACCAAAACAGCAAAACTCTTTCGCCAAACTTAGATACAACAACACCCATTACCGACAACAGAAACTACATGACAGACACGAGTAACTCCTAAACCAGGGGTGGGCAATCCTGCTCCCTAACCCACCTAATTTAAATGATCAGGATCGTTATCAGGCTTCTGCAGAGCTTGATGATGAGCTGATCATTTGAATCAGGTGTGTTGGAAGAAGGAAACATCTAAAACATGCAGGACTGTGGCCCTCGAGGACCAGGATTGGACACCCTTGTCCTAAAATAAGTTGGGCAGCTGCTAACTGAAGCTACAGTTAGCTTCTGGTAACTTCAACACTAAGCTAGCTGCTGCCAACAGAAGCTACAGTTCAACAAGCAAACACCAACAACACAAGAGGCACCAGGGCGAAGTGTTCGCGTCACATCCCAGCCAGTTAGTTTTATAGTCCAGGTGTGCTGATTGCTGCTGTTGGATTGGCTGAGGGACGAGGGAACTGGGTGTTGGTCCAATCAGGAACAAGGGCTGGAGAGCAGGTCTGGACCTCCAGGCTAATCAGCTGCAATGACAGGCAGCTGGGACTGGAGCAGGATCTCCAGCCAGATACCACAGAGTCCTCTCCCTATGCAAGGGATCCACCAAAACTAGACAGCACAAACACCAGGGGCCCAAACAGAGATGACCATCCATCCATCCATCCATCCATCATCTATACACCACTTAATCCTCACTAGGGGGGCTGGAGTCTATCCCAGCTGACTCAGGGTGAAGGCAGGAGACACAACCAAACACTCACATTCACACCTACGAACAATTTAGAATCACCAATTAACCTCAACATGTTTCTGGACTGTGTGGGTGGAAGCTGGAGAACCTGGAGAGAACCCACACTGCACGGGGAGAACATGCAGAAAGATCCTGGGTGTCCTCACTGGGATCTGAGACGAAGATGTGTTTCGCATGAAAATATTTTAATTTGAAATGTCCCAAGTTACTAAAATGACCCTTTGACATAACGGGAGCAATGCAAGAGGATGCCATTAGTGATTTTTGTGTATTCGTGTTGGGCAAATTTTAGCACTATTGTCAGTCAACAAAACTGAAAAGGTTTTATTCTAGTTTCGTCTGTGTCGCTTTGCAGGTATAAAGTCTGATTATGTGTCCATTCCTCTGTTATTTATGTTCCTTTATTTCATTAATTTGTGAACATGTGAAGTTTAATTCTTGCTGTCTTTGTTCATCAAATAAAAACAAAACTTAATTCCACATGAAAACTGTTTTCTCTGTTGTTGTTGAGTATTTGTTAGTTAAAGTTTTTTTCCTCTTTAGTTTTTCCTCCAGGACAGGCTGGTGTAGTTCAACGAGTCCTCCCAGTCATGTGTCTGTCGCTGGTGGTAGAACAAACTGTTTCTGCCAATCAACAAGTCAACCATTCACGATCATTTCTTCTTTTATTCAAACCGAACCAGTGCATATTGTGCAACGGCAGACAGGCTAATCAGCATCACGAGAAAGACACCTCAGCAAAACCAGTGACACAAAAAAAATAAAGGTTCCCAGCTTCTATGAAGTTCTGCCTTTGGTGTAGGATTCCATACAGGTGTTGTTGACAAGATGTAGAAGGTCCATGCAGTGGTGCACACATCTGGCATGTTTTAGTTCTTGTTATTCCAGTGGAACCTATATGTTCTTTGAGCCACGTTTGAACGGACGTCGCTTAGGTTTTGTTTGAGCCACTTGCTAAAGAAGCACATTGTCAGAAGCTCAAAGATGTCACCTCTCACATGCAAACTTTAACCTTCTTCAAAGTTCTTCTTTCATAAGCTTCTAATTCTGAGTCTACTAAATAGACGAACCTTCCATCCAAAGAGGTAGAGGCAAGGAGGTTAATGAAAACTTTTTCTCGTTTTCAGCGGTGACATTTTATATAGTTTTAATATTCGTTAACACAAAGGTCATCAAAGGATATATTTAGAGGGTATTGCAGCTTTTCTTTTGGTGAACGTGTGAGTTAACCTTTCAGGGAGGCCATGATTTTTTTTCTCAGAGTAAAAGCACGTGTTGATTTCAGCCTTCACTTTTGCACTTCATAGTTGCACAGGTTCTGCTCATCTATCGTTTTGTTTTTAAATGTCTACAATGATGGTGCACCATAGAGGAGACTTTAAATTGGAAATGATTAAATGAGTTTAACACTTTCACTCCGTTGTGCGGAGGCCGACTTTTTTTTTTTACTAAGTCAAGATGAGGGATCAAAGAAGCCTTGGATAACCCCGGGGAGGGCAGAGCTGCTGGAACACAAGGCTCAGCCCCCCTCCAACTGCACAAGTACCAAAAAGTGAAAGTACCCTCTCTGCAGGAATCTGTCCCCTGTGACTTGTGTCTTTAATGTGCCGTCCTAATGTGGAAGATGAAAGTAGCTGCTGAATAAACACAGCGAAGTAAACAGACAGAGGTGTAGCCGAGGGGTCACCCATTGGACCACGGTGTGGAATCAATAGTGCAGCTTCATGTAGGGCTACACATGTACTTGATCCAGTGTTTTTTTATGGCAGAACCGCTGCAAGGTGGCGCAGTTGGTAGCACTGTTGCCTCACAGCAAGAAGGTTACCTGTTCGCGTCCCGGTGGGGGCACCGGAATCCTTCTGCGTGGAGTTTGCATGTTCTCCCCGTGCAGCGTTGGTTCTCTCCAGGTTCTCTGGCTTCCTCCCACAGTCCAGAAACATGTTGAGGTTAATTGGTGATTCTAAATTGTCCGTAGGTGTGAATGTGAGTGTGCTTGGTTGTCTGTCTCTAAGTGTAGCCCTGTGATAGACTGGTTACCTGTCCAGGTGAACCTGCCTTCACCCTGAGTCGGCTGGGATAGAGTCCAGCCCCCCATGACCCTAGTGAGGATTAAGCGGTGTATAGATAATGGATGGATGGATGGATTTCTCTTGTTTCCAGAAAGTTTCAGCGAACGACAACCAGAAAATGTTGATAGACTTCCTAATATTGTCCTTGAAGAGCATGCAGACAGCAGGAAATGCAACCGTCCAGAATCTGTGCATGCGGTTTAGTTTTAGATTCAGTTGATGCTCCTGTAAAGACTCAGAAAGACTGCAGGGATGAAACCTAGTTCTGGAAAACAAACTGCAGAACAATGTGAGACTGACCCAGAACCTGCAGCCAAAAGAAAGCAAGTCCTGAGCAGAACAAGGACACTTCTGACGCTGACACGAGTCCTCAGTGTCACCGTCTGAGCTCGGCGAACAAACAATCTTTTTCAGGCCCACGTAGAAAAAAAACCTTCTTATGCTGCTTGTGAATTCATTTACTTCTAGATGGCAGTCTTCATGAGCAAATGATATGAGTGAATGACCCAAAAAATTACTTTCTGGCCCACAGCGATTTGCAGAAAACACAAGACATTGTGCCACCCCGCTGTGAGTAATGGTCTCATCCCTATAAAAACGTTCCGCCTCTGTAAACAGTACAATTTAATGAGCACACTCAAGTAAACGGAGTCTTAAGTCAGCGTAAATCGTCACTTTCCACTGTTAAGTCCTTACATGTTCTCATGACAAACCATCGCGGCGTTTCAGATCTGCTCTCCCCAGAGACACGGCGATAAGACGTGTGCCATCTAAAAGTGATGGATTGTTTCCAGTAATCCTTTGGGTTTGAGACTCAGTCACAATATCAATGTGGGAAAACGTACGGAGGATGTGCCCTCCGGATGCATCAAAGGAAAAACGCCACATTTACAAGAAACTTTATCCGTAACGGTCCACTTCACAGGAGGATGTTCCACTTGTGTCGTGAGTCAGCTGCGCGCAGAGCGAACGCAACATGTGTGTGCCGGTCCGACAAAACCAGAACACGACACTCCGGGATCTTTCAGCGGGCTTTGCTTTGGAATGCCTGCTTTTTGGGCCGGCGCCGTGTAGCGGTGCATTATGCATGGTAGGTAGATGTGAAGTTGACAAATCAAGCGGGGCAGCAGTTTTTCGAGATCAAGGAGCTGCAGCATTTGAGGCAAAAAAAACAACACTCGTCTCCACTCCAAAGCTGGGAGGTTCTCCAAAGCGAGCTTAATTACCGACTGCAGGCAAAGCTTCATTTAGAAACCACGGGGCTTTTACTGGAAATCAGAGGTGCTAATAAGTTGCCTGCCCATTCGAGGTCATCACCATAAGCAGGGGAGCAGAGAAGACGAAGCAGCTCGTCGTTTCCTCCCTCTCTAATCTTATTTTCCTGTTAGTTTGTAACTTAAACTAGGCTCTTTGGTTTATCCACTGCTGTTTTGTATCATTATCTGTGTCAAGTAGAGTAATTATCTAACAAATGTATAAAAGCGGCTCTCTAATTAAATGCCATGGGCTGCAAGAGATGGAGATAAATTATTTATACTGCTTTGATGAGAGCTAGCTAGCTCTAAGGAGTGAGCAGTCAGTCGTTTTTAGGATTGAAACCACTGCAGCGGGATTTTACTGAAACTTTTCTAGGGGGTGTTTTTTTTTTTTTTTTAGGGGGTGGGGGGGATAAGAAAGAAGCTAAATCAGAGTGTTTGCCACTGGGGACGAGGCACGTCAGGTTTCTGTGTTTATAGCAAACCAGCCTTCTCCAAAGATGTAATTTGCTCATTGGAGAAAGATATTTTCACGCCGGTATTTACAAGTCAGGAAGAGGTGAGGCCGCTCGGAGCTTCCGGCAGGTACAACAAGAGTAAGTAAACATATTTAAAGTGACAGATTCAAAGTGGCTGCTGCTGCTGCTGCTCACACACTGGACCTGATCTAATTTGGTCCACATTACTGCGGGGATGTTGAAAGTAGCCATTCATCCTCAACTAGCTGCAAAACCTCCCACAGGCATTAAAGAAAGGCTTTCACAATAACCAAGCATAACTGAGGACAATTAACAAATGAGACAAAGGAAGCAAGCCAAAGTCAGATAAGAATTCTTATTATTCCAATAAAAAATACATTCATACAGAAATATAACAATTTTGCAAAACAATTTCAAATAAAAATTTCATAAAGCATAAACATAACAATTTTACAAAAGTTGTTTTTTTTTTCTTTTTATACAAAGATTCAGTTGAGAACAAAGAGCTGTGTGTGTGTGTTTGAGTGTGTGTGACAGAACAGTTTGTGGTAGTGACGGGATGAAAGAAGATGATGGAAGAGTGTAAAAGATGCGAGCAAAAACATGAGGCTAAATCAAGGCTCAATTATCACTCGGCGTGTATCGGCTGCTGTTTCCACAGAATGGATGTTCCTGCTCTTTGCCCACAAACGGCCTTGCCAGCACTCCCAAATCTATTGCAGCAAGCAGTTTCAAGTTTGTACTCATCCTGTCTCCTGCGCCCGCTAATCTGAAATCCATATGTCGTAGCATGCCACGGCGCAACTTGCTGCAACATCGAATTCCTACAAGCGAGGTCGCTGATCTGGAGTGGGTGGCACAGATCACTGAAGCTGTAATCAGTAGAATCCCCAGCATTATATGTGAGGCTCCGCCTTTTGTTGTGCATCCATCTCCCACCTCCAATAACAGGAGATGCTTTTTTTTTTGAAGCCATATTGCCATGTGTGCACCGTCAATGCTCGATCTGTATCTCCTCCTGAGAGCCCCCTCCCCGCCCCCTCGCTCGCTCCTGTGGTTTTCATAATACTGTTGCAGCTTGGCTAAAACAACGCTCCCCAGACAGGTCAATAACCAACCTACACAGTCAGCAGTCTGTGACAGATTCCATGCCAACAAAGCCTTTAGCAATTCATTACTGAGAGGCAGTACAAGGCGAGGCCTGTCCGACTGCAGCCTGTTAATTACAATAAATCTTTAGCTTTTTCTTCAGTCCCACTTGCAAGGATGGAGGGACAGTGAGGGAGGTGGAGGCGGGGGGGCACAGAGGATGGTGGTGGGGGAGGAAGGAGCAGTTTTTGTTAAACTAGTCTGGTCGTTTTGTACCTTAGCGCTGTGTGTGATGGAGTACATACTACACAGTAGTTAACGTCTTTAATAAATGAATTTAAGTGCTTGAAACATACAGCATTTGTCTTATATACATGTTAATTCAAATGTGATATACATCAACTAAACTGGTGCTCTGACTCGAAAACATTAAAAAAAAAAAAAAAATAAGGGAATCGACTGAGACTTTTGTGAACACTTACATTTTAACGACACAATTAAGAGCCAAAAAAAAAAAATTACCCACAAAGGAGGTGCGAGTTAATTTGTAATTGAGCCTTGATCAAGCTTGTCAAATCACCCAGACAACAAATGTGACATCCTGAGGGAGCAAAAAAAGCATCGCTCCCGCAGGGCTGAGTCACTTGCATAAGGCACCATTAAGGTCAACAGTGCATTATTAGATAGAAAGAAAGTACAAAAACAAATCAAGAATTAGTCCTCAAGGCATAGAATGAATGAGAAAAGTAGTAAGCAGTGGTGAATATCTCCAGCCAGATGACAAACCAGGATGAAGGAGATGGATGTAGTTGTAAAAGTAAAAAGAGGAAATCATCAAGGCTTTATGTACAATATTGTAACATTTAACCGTTCGCATTTTAGCTGCACTTTTATTGAAACTATTTGCAGTCCTGATTACAGTGGAAACAGGAAATGAACAAACCCTAGAACCATGCAACACCTGTCTATGATACTGAAGTTATAGTATAGTTGTGTTATACCTCTAAGCACACAGCTTATACAATTGGACTACAAATGAGCTTTGTAGCTTGTAAAAAAATAATAAACCAGGCTACATAACACATTGCACATTTAGTAGCTGCACCAAAAACACCAAAAAAAGCTCCTGTCATACAGTGACCAGGGGGGGGAGTTTGGTCTCTGGGTCGCACACCAGAAGGTCAACACCTCCATCTCTGGTCAAACCCAAGGCCTTAAAAGCTTCAGAGAAGCAGCCCCCCCCGAGTCTGGGTGCCAGACAGACAGACAGACAGACAGACAGGCAGGCAGGCAGGCAGGCAGGCAGGCAGGCAGAACCTCCTCCCTGCCCCATCCTCACACTGCCACCAGGGAAACACAAGTGGAATGTTTCCCCCAGAAACCCACTCAGTCCACAGCAACATTGGCACCGGCCGGCCCCGCACCATCCATCCAATCCATCTCTTCTCCAAAAAAAACCCCAAAAATCCTCTCGTCTTGGTCTCTTCCCAGGGGGCCAGTCAGCCAAATCTCAGACATTCACAGTGCACACATGCTTACCTCAGACAGTTTTGTAAAGTACCAGTGTATCTGCTGTCCGGGAGATGTCCCCAAAACATCATGCACCATACATACAAATCATTCACCCTTTATGTTGTTGTTGTTGTTGTTTTTTTTTTTTGTCTTTTTGTGTGTGTTGTAAGTCCTTCTCAATCAAAAAAAACAAAAAAAAACAGTTCTTCCCCATCCATGATTTTGTCCTCTTGTTGCAACAGACAACCTTCAGAGCGCCTTTCTCCAAAGAGAGGTCCCGGAGGCACTGGGTTTCAGTATGGTGCAAAACGGCATGCTTTGGCTGGAACACACTCCCGCCACTCTGCTCTGGGACAGTTCAACCAAGAGACTGGTCGGGAGACGGCGTTTGTTTCTCTCTTTTTTTTTTTTTTCATCTTCTTCGTCTTTCCTCTCTCTCCTCTTTCCCAAAAAACAAAAAAAAACAAAAAAAAAAACAAAACAAAAAAACGTTTCCCCTTCGCTGCGTTGCTTGGTTGGTGCTTGCCCTGCTTTAGATGTGCCTCTTCATGTGAAGAGCCAGATGGTCAGACCTGGAGAAACATCTGGGGACAGAGGAGGAGGGGGAGAGGAAGTCAGTAACGATGGAGAAGATGCTGCTGCTGGAGGGCATGAGAACGAACACTCACAATACCTAAACCAACACATTTAGAAGAGGCCAGCTAAATCCAGATTACATCATTTATCATCAAGGCCCTCTGAGAGTGGATTTTTGAGGCTGATATGTGGGAGTTTTATGAGTATTATTGACATAAACTCATAGATTTACACAATCAAATGTCTTTATACTTTTAAAAACTGTAATCAACACACATGCCCAGCATCACTGGACTATTTAATAGTCAAAACAATAAAAAAAAAGGGCACTGATTCCACTTAATTTGGCGCCTCCATCCTGCATCCTTGCTACTCACTGGCCACCAGATACAGACATCTATGTTAACTCTGTGGTTCTCCGTTTATCAGCCAGATTTTCAGCCACGTCACTGAAACGCATCGGTGACGTGGCTGAAAATTCGCAGCCCTGCATCAGTATTTTGGAAGACGCAGGAGAAGCAGATCCCATCAACAGAAGCGCGTCCTTATCGGAGGCAGATAGAGAGGCCCGTCTTACCTGTCACAGTGACTGCATTTAAATGGCTTTGCCCCAGTGTGCTTCCTGAAGTGTCTGGTCAACTCGTCGCTTCGTGCAAAACGCCACTCGCAGCCCTCCCACGAACACCTGTACGGTTTCTCACCTGCAGAGCAAAACCAGGACACGATTTAAAAAAAAACCTCAGGCGAGGACTCCGGCTCTAACGGAGCGTTTTACGCCTGCAATGACTGATCTGCACTTTTGTCATTTAAATACATTCACATCAATCAGCCCGAGGGGGTCGGGAGGGACGACAAGCTGATCCGAATTCCGCCGAACCTGTTGGTGCACTAACTTTGTTTTTGCTGCAACACGCTAAGAATGCTCGCTGAATGTGTGGGATATGTGCGGCGAGGAAAAGAAAAAGACACACGTGCAATTTCACGCTGCTAATCAAAAATAAGAAACGCTCAAATGACCATGGAAAGGCCTCCCAACTCAGCGGCCCCTGGCTCCCCGCCCACTCACCCCTTTCCCATGGTGAAACTCAATCTGTTTTGAAGTCCTTTTTATCTCCCATGTGCAACCCCTCCCCCTTTTCCCTCTCTCTCTCTCTCCCCCTCTCTTTCTATCTCGCTCGCTCACTCGCTGGCTCAGTCAGTCACATTCCAGATAGATTAGGTCACAGTTTAGGTATCCAGCCATGCAGAGCTAATACTCGCAGCGCTCCAGCTGAGGACATCATGCAATGTGGACCTTTAATTACATTACACAATGGGTGGACAATGCCATTAAGGTGGAAGACTGAATTAACGGCACTTCCGGCATTCGCTCAGTAAGAATTTTTTTTACTCTACAAAGCTTTTCCCTGAAACCAGCAGCCCTCCCCTCCTTCCCTCGTTGCTTTCAGTTTACAGTTTACACAAACCACATGAAGCTGGAACTCACCTGTGTGAGTGCGTTGGTGTGCTTTTAGGTGGGAGCTCTTTGTGTAAACCTTGCGACACCCGTTGAATTGACACCTGTGTACTCGCCTCTTGCCGTCCGGAGACGAGTCCCCGCAGATGAGTCCCGACTTTTCCGAACTCTTTGCCACACCGCCGCTCCTGATTTTTACCGGCAAGTGCAACTCGGCGTGCGCGGCCACCCAGCCGTTCGTCACGCCGCCGGCCTCCGAGTTGGCCTCCGGAGAGGACGGCGGAGTGCTAATGACGGAGGGGCTAAAAGGTCCAGAGCCAACCAAGACAGAGCCCAGAGGGTTGGAGGTAAAGCTGTGCGTGGGCGAGAGCTCCTCAGAACTGTCTGAAGCCTCGCTGCTGGCGTCTGAATTCACACTGTTGGTGTCCAAGATTTGGCTGTCCTGATTGTCCTCCTCGTGGGCCGCGGGGAGCTTTGGGTCGCACTCGGCCTTGGCCTTGTCCCCGCAGGCCAAGATCAGCTTGCTCCAGAGGTCCTCCTGGCCGTCGAACTTGAGGTCGGATGTGGAGACGTAAGGCTCGCTCTGTAGGTAGCGCTCCAACTCCAAGCATGTCTGGTCGGACGCAGAGAAACGAGAAAACACAGTGAGAACAAATGAATGAGAGCAGCAGCAGCAGCAGCACCCCCGTAGAGAGGAAGCTCAGTCACAGCAGCTAAACGCTTGTGTGTGGGAAATCCTCCTAAATCATGCATGTGCACATTCCTGTGTGCTTATGGTGGCGCAATATTTGCCAGAATCTTACAGCATGAAGTACTAACAAGGAAATTCCAGCTATTCCTGCAGTTTTAATGATCAGGCTTAGAGCTCGGAGGGGAAGAAATCTAAGCGCAAATGACAAATATTTGCTGCCTGTTTGCATCATGTGTACTGTTAAATGATGCACTTTTTCCAACTGGGGATGCTGTTTGAAGAGCACAGGCTGTGTACGTACAGCTCAGGAGAGGTGGGACACGAGTTCTCCACCACTTTCAGACTAGAAATCAAGAAATCCAGCTGCATTTCCTGATCCTACTGATTCAGGGTTCCCTCGGCTGAACTCTGCCTCCCTTCGCTGAACCACAAGCCTCCACCGCCAGCATCACAACACCAAGCCACCACACCGGCCTCATGTGATTCAACTCCCGAGTCTCCCTGCAGCACCGAAACGTGCACTGTCATTTCGGCGCTCAACAATGAGTCACTGAACAAATTTAGAGTCCTTTTAAGGAAGCCGCTCAACTTCCCCCCTCCGACGTGAGGGGGCCATTCAGCTGCTTTTCCTCATGCGTACCACTGACATGCAATCACATCCTTCCTCGGTGTCGGATGAAAAAAAAAAAAGAAAAAAAAAGGATGCACTGGCTCCAATTTATAAAAGTTGAAAAAGCAAGAGGCTGTTCATTAGAAGGTGCTCTGGCAGAGAGCAGCTTCAGCACTGCACATGTAGAATAAATATTTTTCCTCCAGGCTTTCTGCAGCCTTACACAATATTTTCCAGCTGTGCTAGTGTCTACTCATGCAAGCAGGATTTGGCCGAGGCTGACATTTGATAGTGTCATGTTGTGGAGCCCATTCAAATCCGAGGATGATGCAAATGGATGATTTGCAAAAGATAAACGTTACACAGCAGGAAAAAAAAAGAGGAAACTTAATAATGACACACTGAGATGTTGGATATCACATTCTGTGTTAATGGCAGATTTGAAACTGCAACTGGCTTTCCAACCACATCCTCACCAGCTTCTGTTTAGCAAGTGGAAGCAGCTCTAATAAATGCCCCCCTCTGAAACCATCTGCCCCCAAAAGAAGAAGTGAGAATCTAAGCAGGGCAGTGAACGCACCAAGCACGCTGCTGCTGCTGCTGCTGAGTTACTCTCCATTCATCTTGGACGCAGCAGAGCCTCGACTCCAGCTGTCAGACTGACACACTGCTCCACTTCAGCCTGCCAGAAACTTCACAACCCAAAACTGATTTTCAAAAAAAAAAAAAACGCACGAGCTCCGTCTAAACACCGCTCACCTGTGCTCACGCGCATTTTTTTTTATTTTTGCTTTTTAAGAACTTCTGATTCGCTCCTGAGCCCCAAAAAATAAAAAAAAAACATGAAGTTTTTATATTCACCTGCTGCCAGTACTCCTCCAGTGACGGTAAGGCTGAGAAATAGCCCGTGTCGTGAACTATTTGAAGTTCTTGAAAGATGCTGCACATGGGTAGAACATCCATTTTTCTGTTCTTTTTTATCCCGAGCTTGTTTTCTGTTTATTTGTTTTGGAAAAAACTACGTAGCTGCACTTTAATATTTTTTTCCTCTCCTCTCTCTCTCTCTCTCTCTCTCAGGTAGAAAAAAAAAAATCAGCCAGCGGAAGGAGCGATCCTCTGCGATGCAAACCAAAGCGCTCAGCGGGCAGAGAGTCCGTCCGTCCGTCCGTCCGTCCGTGCGTCCGTCAGTTCCCCCCCTTTCCTTCTCGCTGCTCTCTCTCTCCTGCCTGTGCTCAAGGTATTTGCAAACACTGCACCGGACTGGATGGAACAACTGCGCTCTGCAAACTTCCCTATTCAAACCTCGACGCCCGCCCCCCCCCTTCTCCTCCTCCTCCTCCTCTCCACTCCTCCCTCCTCCCGTGCACGGCCGGAGAACGCCTGCCGCGCCTCGACCAATCAGCGGCGAGCGGCGTAAGGGCTTGCAAATGATATCACAGCCGACCAATGGCGGCGGGGCTCGCGCTTAATTTGGTTTCTGCTCGCTCGCGATTGGCGCGTTTGACCGCCGGTGGCTCGCCGCTGATTGGCCGGTTATTTATAGGCATGTATATAAGGCGCTGGTGCACTGGCTCCGGCTCTAGTCTTTTTCTGTCGGCTGCGTGTTTCGCCACAGACAGCGCCTGTGAGCCGAAACCGTTTTACTCCTCTTCTGTGGAAAACATCTCCCTCACTCTCTCTCTCTCTCTCTCTGTGTGTGTGTCACAAGCAGCACTTGCAACACTGCTGTTTAAAGGGGGGATGAGTTCAAGCCAAGAGCTGGAACTGTGCAGAAGTGCATGTGTTGACATCAGCCACTGAGAAAGTTCCCCTCCAGTGTGGTGGTGCTGGTTGGTTACTGGGTGACTAACAACATCTCAGGTTGTTATTATTGAATTAGCAAGAACACACGTGGACGCGTTAAGAGGAAACATCCTCACTTCTGAATTCACTTCTGCTTTAAAAAAAAAAAACCCAGAAGATCAAAGTTGCTCTCTGCCCTGTAGCGGAGGTCTGACAAGTACAGCCTGTTATTAGTTAAAAAACTAGCTTTTTTTTTTAAAGATCCTAATTTGCACTTAAAAGAGCATAAAGCAGAATTAATATTCAACAGTAGCTCCCCATAGTTAAAGAGTTTGTTTTACCCCAATTTAGTTATTATGATACATGAAACAATCCCGTATAAATTAACTCTGAGTTATTCCACAAATCGTTTTAAGCCTTGTACACAGTAATATGGATGTTTTCCCCCCTCCATTAAAAAAATACAAATCTGTCTTCACAACTATTGTTTTACAAAATATCTTAGTACACACCAGAATACAAAAACAGGAGGCCTCTATATTTGTCATCTAGAATTATAATCATCTCGTTAATTCATCATATCTGCAGACTTCAAACCACAAATCCTGTGAACCATGTTCGGCACAGGCGATGCAGAGGTTTTTTGTTTTTGCGTGCCAGTAAAGCGGTGCGGTGCAGCGATGCCAAGTTAGGTTGTAAACTTGTAACTGCAAGTGCTAACCAAATATAAAGAATATAAATGTTGCTTCGGGCACGTTGCTCATCGCACAAAGCAGCAATGGACGTGTGCAAAGTGAGACGTTTCCCAAACTTGTCTGCACAGATAAAAAAGAAATCTGCACTTTGGAAGGATCTAACATCTCTGTTTGAGTGACGTCAAACAGCTCAAATGTCAATTTTGCAAAACATTTTGTATGAATATTGCAAAGGAACTCAGTTTTATGATGGTTTACTTTGCATTTTCATCACCATATGTATATAATGTTATATGCACGTTACATACAGCAACAAAAACAACAAAATTCAGCATCAAAATCCTTTTAAAACCTGTGATAACACGCTGCTGTATTCCTGTTGTTAGAGACTGTGTTGTTTTGGAAGTGAAACATTTGATAAAAGAGAAAAAAAACCCCAACTAAATTTCACAATCTTCATTCACCCAGTATTGGTGTCAAGTAGAACATCTCCAGCGGCTGGTAAAATGTGCCGTCAGTGATACGAGAGGCTTTGGTAATTCAGATTAATAATGCAGATAGGTACAAGCCCCAGTCCATCATTATGTCATATCGTTCCTATAGCTGCATTTATTATAGATAGAGTATTGGTCCGTTTCTGGAGCGATGTCAGACGCCTCAAATAATACATCATGCTTCAGCTGCTAGTCAGATGTGTTTCAATAATTCGGCATAATTGACATTGCAGTAGTTCTTCGTTAATGCTGGTTACAAAAAGGAAACGTGTTTACAGGTTCGCCACAGTCTGACTTAATTACTAAATTTAGATTTCACAAGAAATACACAGACAGAATAAAATCAACACTTTTTTTTTGTTTGAAGAGTAAAAGTTTGGATCTCATTAATAAAGTTAGTGACTTTTCTTTTGTTTTAGAATTGATTAACTTGAATGACTCAGTCTCTTGTTCGACTTTTTCACAATAGTTGCTAGAAATTTTCCACCATTGCCAAATTACAGCACTCATAGCTGCTCTATTGTCTGGTGACACCCAGCTGTGTTCCCTCGTGAATGACGCTCCATTCCAGCAGCATTCCATCACATATTTGGCAACGGCACGACGTCACCGCGGCTCCTTCTTATCGTTTCCTCTCTGGGAGAAGTGCTCGCGTGCCACAGAGGCATCTCTTCCTGCAGCTATTGCATAAGCTCCCAGCATCAAGTCGCTGCACAACCTGTCCTGCCCACCGCCTCATGAGATAAACAACGTTCCTCCACAGGAGCGCCACTGTCTTCTAAGTGGCAGTGTTTTTTTCTGAGCAGACAACTGAGCGCCCTTTGTGCCGCTGTTGGCTGTGAGGTCATCGTGCATCTGATTTGGTCATATGGTGATGGGATGTCTTGTGAAGCCTGGAGCTGACCTCAGTAGCCCTGCGAGGGGATTCCTCGCCGCTTTTATGTTCCTAATGGGGCTATTCATCATGTCCCCCCAGGACTCGGTGGACTTTGAAGGGTAAAAAGTCCACTTATAAGAGCCATGTCACCACATGAAATATAAAAAAAAAAATACAAATCAGAGGCTTATCATCGCACAATAATGTGCCCGCTCATTATTCATGCGTTTCTAAAGTTGCCACTGTATGCATTTGATGAATAACAGAGTACACTGTCGGGTCCCGCCGGAGCGTTCGCGTTCAGCTCCGCAGTAATCACTTCCTTCAGAAGACCTCTTAGATGAAGCATTTAGAGAATGCATGGGGTCCTGCATGGCAGCTTTTATCTTAGGAGGCCAGGTCCCCAGCTTTATCATCGTTATGTAATCCCAGCCCAGCCAGTAGCCACAGGAAAGAGCAATTACTGGCTGACCCATTTTAATGCATCACTGTCAACCCAATCAGTGAGTTGTTCTAAAGGGTTTTTCTGGGTAACCTGGAGACCCGCTCCCGTGTTTCAGACATGAACAAAGGAAAAGAGTCCAGCCGCCCTCCAATGTGATATCCATCATCCTGTATGGAGCTTATGCATGGAGCAGATAGAAGATGATTACCCGGGTTGATGTGCAGAAAATGAACCGTCTGGGTTGTGTTGTCATCTTTAAGCATGAAAAGTCGGATGTTTCTCAGATGGGAGGCTTTGTTGTGTTTCTGTCATACATGATAGTAAACTGGGAGTTGGACTGTTGGTCGGACAAACAAGACATCTGAAGACGTCATTCTGGCCCTGTGATGGACATTTTATTGTGCAATGATCCATCAATAAACAGAGACAAATAATCAAGGGTATGAAAAAGTTTTAGCCATGACAGGAATGATAAAGTAAGATTTTTATTTTTATTCTTTACTAAATAAGCTTAATATTCTTAATATATTGTATTTTAAATGATTGCAGCTCAAAAAGAAGAATTCCTTGAATTAATGTGGCGTCACGTACACATTATTTCTGTTATGAATGAGAAGCTGAATTAATTAGCAATTAAACAGGCTGTTGCCCAATTCAGTAAATGCAGGGATTTTGTCATTACGGTTTCTTTTGGTCTGGTAGGGCTGCTGGATGACGCTTGCAAACTTTAACTTGATGTAATTCTTAGGCATGTTTTTACCTGTGATGTGTCATATTATTATTATGATTTATTTTTTATTGCCACATAGCTCTTTGTTGTATCCTGTGTGGCTGCAGATCAGTAAAAGCGTCATAATCTTGATGTTGACGAGTCAGTCTGTGGTGCTTTCAACCATCTTTTCTGGAATAAAAGTTCAGTAATATTACATCAGAGCTACATTCACAACATAATTTGTGGGATTATGAATGAAGAGGACTTTAAAATCCAAAGAAAAGCTTTCCAGTCCCACGTATGCATGTGAGCAACAGGAACAGCAACGTTCTCGCCCAGCAGGGTAAGTCAATACACCGTTTTATTTTAGGATAACATTTAGTTACGACTCCCTGAATGAATCTGTGAGTGACTGCTGTCTATAGATATCTTTCACACTGTTTAAACCACGTCTGACATCTCTCCTCCTGCATTTTCTGGCTACAGAAAAGCAACAAATTTGACACTCCCATCTAGAGTTTCAGGACATGTGCGTTTGGACTTGCCTTCTCGTTCATCCTGAGAACTCGACAGGCCTCCCGTGCACAGTTATGCTCACGTAGGACTGGACGGTGGCTGTTAGAGGGT